ATATATAATCCGTCCAGTGAGCTCTGGGTCAACCTCAGGCCTCTTACTGGTGGGACATGCCAGAAATACCTCCAAAAGGGAGGCATCCTAATCAGACGCCCAACCACCTCAGCGGACTCCTTTCGATGCAGAGGAGCAGCGACTCCACTCTGAGACCCCCCTGGGTGACAGAGCTCCTCTCCCTGTCTCTGAAGCTGAGCCCCCCACCCTACGAAGGAAGCACATTTCAGCCACTTGTATCTGGGATCTTGTTCTCTCGGTCATGATCCAAATCTCATGACCACAGGTGAGGGTGGAAATGTAGACAGTCCAGAAAATCCAGAGCTTTACCTCAACTCTTCTTCACCAAGACCGACTGAAGCAACGCCCTCATTACTGAGGACGAGGCCCCAATCTGTAAATCAGTTTCCTGTGCCATCCTTCCATCACTCATGAACAAGATACTCAGATCCTTAAACTCCTCCACCTGAGGCAGACTCCTCCCTGACCTGTGTGTGTGTGGGTGGGTGGGGGGTGGGGGGGATCAGAGACTCCTCCCTGACCTGTGTGTGTGTGTGGGGGGGGGGGGGGGGATCAGAGTCCTCATTGGGACTAAACCCATCCTCACACATGGATGCTCATAATGCATTAGTGATGTGACATGATGTGGACATGTTATGATGGTTTTGTTAGTGACAGTCAGCAGAAGTTTGATTGTAGTTCATTTGAATAAGTGACCCCCCCGACCCGGAAAGGATGAAGCAGGAAAAAATAATGGATGGATGGATGATGGATGAAAATGTAGATTGCGTGTAAACTGGGGGACTCAGGGTTCACCTGCTAAACGTCATGAGACTTTTCATTACGGCCATGCCTCTTTACATTAGTGACAGTTCTAATAGACCAGAATGAACTGCGGCGTGAGTTCAGTGAACTGAAGGAACTTGTCGTCACTCGATGCAGCAGCGTGGATCACTGATGTGCACTCCATCCTGTCTGGATACCAGCAGAGCCGTGTGGTTCTGACAAACATGTCAAGTTTTGGCAGAAACTTCTTATTTTCTGATCTGGAATCACTTGAAGGATGATTACTGCAGTGGACCTACATGGCAGGCCCGCTTTACCATTCCAAATCACACTGATGTAGTTAAGCAGGAATTTAACTAACCGTGTGTCAGAGCTGCTGATTTGCCTCTGGATGCAGCTGTTTGATGGAACGTTGATTAGGATGCATAAACTGTTCGATCAATATTTGCATTTTTCTTCTGTTCTGCTTGTTCAGAGTTCAGATGTTTTTATAAGGTTTATTGTTTTAGTTCTTCTGGACACATCATCTGCCTGAAACTGCTTGCTGACAAGTCGCTTTATGAAAATAGAAAAATTACCTTTTTATCATTCTTGCCTGCCTTTCAGCACGTTAGCTTTCTGTTAGCAAAACATTCCACTTTAACAGATTTTTTTTCTTCTTTCGGCTGCTCCTTCAGGGGTCGCCACAGAGAACTGACTCGCACGAGGACTTGGTGATTGTTTTTACACACGATGTCCCTCCTGACTCAACCAGACCACGAGCTACCACAGCCTCTGTGTGGAGCAGAGCTCCATCTAGGGTGCCTGGGGGAGCAGATGGTGGGGGTTATCTGCCTTGCTCAAGGGCCCAGAGTGGGGCAAATGAGGGTGGAGGCAGGTGTGGGTGCTTCACCTTTTCCATCCACTTTTATTTTTGTCAGTAGGAGTTGAACCGGCGACATCTTTATTTAAAACATTTTCATTTCATGTCTTTAGTTTCCCTCTCTGCCTTTCATGTTGAGTTATTTTATAACCAAGACTTTTTAAAAACTTTATTTAAACAGAAGTTTTTAAAGTCCTGCTTCAGGTCAGATCTTATAACGAAACATTTTTCTCTCTTCGCTCACTCGTCTGCACAACAGCCAGCTGCTCTGGATGAGCGCTACATTAAAGAGGACATGTTTCCGTTGGTTTTGATCTTTGCTGGTTTCCCACATTTTCATGGATGTTTCTTCATTTTCTGTCCACTTCCGTTTGGTTTCTCTTTAAATCCAGTTCAAATCCACCCAAAAAGAACCAGCGTCTCTGGTTTTTGTAGTAATTGTCCAAAAATGTTAAAACCAGCTGTCAGTTACTGGGGAAGTCCTCAAAATGCTGCCAACGCTCCGCTGACCCGTGGAGGCTCCATAAGACCTCCATCAGGTCCTGAGACAGTTCCAGTTGAGAGCCGGGGCCCCAGTGCAGCACAAACCACAGATGTGTGTTCACACCAAGATCTGAAGACTTCTGGGGCCAAAGCAACAGATTGAGCTCTTGATATTACTCCTCAAACCATTCCAACGTCTTTTTCCCAGTGCAGCATGAAATGGACAACAAAAACCAGTGCTTTTACTGCACGTGAGCAAAAATGTTGCACTGACTGGAAGACCAACACACACTCAGTTCTGTTGCAGAACATGTTTAAAGCATCACACTTCAGCTCTCACAGCCATTTAGCAAAAGAAGACAACACAAATAAAAACAAGTGGTAAACGTCCCCCTCGCTGAGGGACTCGAAGTGAACGTTGGTAGGTTTTAAGACGAGTAAACATAAACGTCTTTGGAGCAAGATGTTCAAGAGAGTCGGAGTTACACCGTGTAGAACGGAGGTAGGTTTATGTTCTTGTCTGAAGCAGCGCAGTGACAGATCCTGGTGAGTGGAGGGAGTAGTGTTATCCACCCCCAGAGACAATAGTGGAGACAGGGGGTGGCCAACGGTGGCCTTGGCCCCTATGGATTAATCTTAAGCCACCCCAATCATTTGAGGGGTTTTAAGCAATAAAAAAATAGAAAGCAGTTTCCTAAAATGACTGGGTTTTTACACACACACACACACACACAAACACACAGAGAGGCTTGTCTTGTTATCTTTATGTGGACTTCGCATTGACTTCCATTCATTTATGGTCTAACCCTGACACTTACCCTAACCATTACCAGTACATACCAACCCAAACCCTAACCAGTACATACCTAACCCTAACCCACCAAGAACACTTGAACCTTATGGGGACCGGGCTTTGGTCCCCACTAAGAGCAGTTGGTCCTCACATAGCAACATAAACAAGCACACACAAACATATTTATATTTAGTAAATAAGTAAATTTCTTTCGGCTGCTCTCTTCTTCAGGGGTCGTCACAGCGAACAAACTTGCATGAATGTTTTGGTGATTGTTTTATGCTGCTGGGTGCCCGTCCTGATGCAACCTGGGCTCAAACCCACAACCTCAGGATTATAAGAGCAAGGCACTGACCATCAATCTACTGCAGCCAATATATATATATATATATATATATATATATATATGTATATATATA